CTGAGCTGCCAACAGGTGGCAGGATGGCTTAGCTTAAAAAAAAAAAAAAAAAAGAGAGAGAGACGCTTATCCAAATACGCAGTCGAATTTTTATATAAAGGAAATTGCATTCTGGAAAAAGGGAGAAGGAACTAAAGATGTTTGAGAAAAAACCTGTATCACTGCCTAATAAATAATAATTAAAATTGATTTACTTTATTATGTATAGGAGTGACAGAAATTTCATAGTATATCAAATTATTTATATATATATATTTAAGCTTATAAGAGTTTATTTGAGCCAAACTGATGACAATTGCTGGGAAGCAGAGCCTCAGGGGATTGAGAAAATGCTCCCTCCCTCAAATATATTTTTTAATGTGGGGATCTGTATTGGCTTACAAACTGGGTAGAGAAAAAAGATTTTTACAGTGGGATGAACCCTAGAAGAGCAGTGTCTTTCAAAAGTGAACAGCTATTGATTCTGAAGGTGTTAGTACTTGCCTTGTGACTTCCTGATATTTTCATGGCTTGCTGAGCTAACTAAGTTCGGATAACCTCAGACTTATTCTACTTTGGGGCTTTCTATAAAACCAACAAATCAGTGCTGTTACTCGAGCACTGTGCTCATCCTCTAGCCACAAACCCGGATAGCACTGGTTCCAAGAAATTTGCTGCTCTGTGAATGCTTATTTGCAAAGCATTCTGTTTTTGACTTTTCTGTTTTAGAACTCTTGGAACCCATTTTGATAATGAAAGCAACTCAAAAATTAAAGTACCAGTGTTAAAAATAATTCAGTTCATTTTAAGATTTTAATTTTTGGATTATTTGTGGAAACAAATTTAAACGTTGAAGCTTGTGGCTCTCATTGAAAAAAATTACCCTTGTTTTTGATACCTCATGTTCTCTAATTGTAAAGGTATTTTGATTCCGTTCAAGCTAAAGAACAGCGAAGGCAACAGAGATTACGATTACATACAAGCTATGACGTAGAAAATGGAGAATTCCTTTGTCCCCTTTGTGAATGCTTGAGTAATACTGTTATTCCTCTGCTACTTCCTCCAAGAAATATTTTTAACAAGTAAGTTTTGGCTCCTAAAACCTTAATATTAAAGTAATAGTTGCCGTGGAAGACAATGAGATAATAAACCAGAGGGAGGGGAATCACTCTAGGTCATTGCATAATGTTTTCCAGATGCTTTCCAAGCTTCATTTAGTCATTTCTTCTAGCAGACCTATAAAATATGATTTTGGGTTTTAGAAAGGAATAGGCCAAAATTTAAGTTTCTTGGTCATCCATAAACACTGTAGAAGATACAAAATTCTTGTGTACTCATGAAAGCTCCCCTTTATTTCCGGCACCCTGCTTTAAATATCTCCCTCATACTTGTCAAGAGATGCTCAGTAAATTGATAGGGGAGAGAGGGGCATCTCAAACTGACTTTATTGAATATTCTAACAATTAAATATAATTTTTTTGCAAATTACTGACTGACAGTAGCTTCAGGAATTGGGCCCAAAAAATGAAAATCTGTTGGTATAATTAAAATGGAAAAATTTTTGTCATTCCATAATTTTAAGGGTGTCACGTCCTGCGTGGCAAGGGCAAATGGGACACGAGAGGGGCGGCGCAGATTGAATAAGAACAAGAGACAGAAGTAAGATTTAAGAGCGAGACCAAGGGACTCAGCCTTCAGAGATAGACTGAGCC